GGATTTCATTTTCTTATTTTGGGTTATGTTGCCATTTTGACTTGGTTGCGCGCATTGGTAAGTTCCGGAACGTATTAGATTGACGTAAACGGATCCGTAGTCCTGGCGAGAGCTGGGCAGGCAGTCCGCTAACCCCTTTGGTTCGCCTTAGGGGAAGGTGGGGCTGTTACCGAATGTAATTGAGGAAGACACCCCATGCTCACATAAGTCGTTTAAGCATGAGGGAGCGGAAGAACGAAGGGATCCAAGATTTGACTCATCAATAGATTCTAAGACGGGATCCGTACTTTCAGTATGCAAATGATAGGTTTGTTCATTTTCATTTTGATTATACGAAGGCAGGAGCTTGTTTTTTTTCTTTTTCTGAGAACAATTGACTGTGGAACGTTTTCTACGGGGATGAGAAGGCTGAACAGTAGCTGAAACATGGGGGGAGAGACAGGCTTGCTCTTTCAGCGTTGCAGCACCACTATTTACCACAGCTTGTCTACGGTGAACTGAACGGCTTATGAGAGGTGCTGCAAACTGTACAAATATATGAGCTCACTTGTATGAGAATAGTACGGAGGAAAACGAAAACAATAAAAGATGTCAACATGGGGAAGACAACTAAATAACTATAAATGTCTTGGGGGAAGGGAGCTAGAATATTGCGATGGTATATACCTTCAGGAACTAAACTACATTGAACTAAATGTGGGACAACAGGAGAGGAAGAAGTTCCACTAGATAGACAGAGTGAGGCAGGGATAGCGGCAGACATATAGTCCAACGATTCTTGAAGCGCAGCAGGACAACCATCAACAACTTCATTATGGCAGCCTGCTAGCTGGTCGTTACGAGCAGGAGCAGAACCAGAGAAACAAACACCAGTTTCAACATGTCCGAACGGTACACTACGAAGGTAAGAGCGAGAAGATTTGTCTTTTTTCTTAAGAAGCCTGTCTTCACGTCTCCGGCACAAAAGTGCAGCCTTGGCACTGGGAGACATTTCCGCATAACGCTTTTGGCGCAGAGCATTTTTATCCATTTCACTAAGATAACTAAGGAGGAACATTCCAGATATGATGACTTCGTAAGAACCGACAATAAGCATAAAAGAACATAGCAGAAACCAAGGGAAAGAACAGAACACACGTGAATTGATGTAAGAAATTAAACAATCAAAAGATGAAGACATGCATGAACACCATCTACAGTACAAAAATGTAGGGAGCGAAAACGGTAAAGCAAGCTTAAACAATGCACCAAACAAAAACACTAAAGAAAGCATGAAGATTCTGAAGAAGCCATGAATGTTTGGGAAAATATGTAAAGTATGAAATGACCAGGAAGGAGGCAAGAAATAGCCAGCAACTAATGCAGCCAGAAGGAGGGAAAAGGCAAGCAAAACAAAGAAACAAGCATCTGACCTGCAACCAAATTCCTGCCATAACACATAACAGAAGATCAGCTCCATAGCAGCGTCCTCGGAAGAACGAGAATGCCAGAAAATCCCAAGTACAAGGACATCAAATAAAGCTGTAAAAGAGGAAATGACAAGCACAGAAAGATGAGATATTGGAAAAAAAACAAAGAGGCGGGGAAAGCCTTTCTTTTTTTTTTTTTGTTTTAAAATGAGCTTACCACAATAGCAACGGCATACATGGATCAGCATTCATCAGCACGGAAACAGGGGAAAAAGGAACAAAGTCAGTGACTAAAATATCAAATGCCGCCACAGCTGATAAGGAGAAACAGTAAACAGCATATAAGCCGAAAAGAAAAAAACTGGCGGAGATAATTACCTTGAAATTGGACAATAGAAATGAAAGCTCCAAAAGAACAGAGAACCAAGCAGAGGAAAAAAGAGCAAACCAACCTTATAGCTGAAACAACAGAACAAAAGAGGGAAAATGATCACCGGATGCATAAACCAACCACAAAGCATGATGGCATCTGCAAAATCCAGGACAGAAAGTATGGAGTAGCTTCCAAAGACATACGGAGGACAATGTTCGAAAGTATAAGAGGCAAAGAAGGGACGCATGGCTGAAAAGTTACACAGTGACAAAGCATTATTTTGACATCTATAACCCAACAACAGCTAAACTAAGTCAACCCACCAAAAAAAAGTAAATAAACATGTAAGACAAGGGTAAATAGGTAAAACATGAGTTGTCACATTGACCCAAATACACACTCTAACCTCACAAAAAACCTGACATTAGGTAAAATGGGAAGCAGAGTAGATTTATTATCAGCACTACAAGCCTAACACTATTATTATTATTATTATTATTATGACCACTATGAGTCCGGTCCTGGGTTCCATTGAAGGAGTTAATTTTTTTCAGCCAGGGCTCGGTGGCTCACAGATGCAATCCACAGGCCAACAATTGCAAGCAGCAGGTCACGTGAAAGGCGCATGGAGAACGACCACTTTTCAGCAAATCATCAAATGACTTGTCAGCAAACAAAACACACCATCGGACAACTTCCTAAGCACTTAGTCTACATATGTTTGATAATTGAATTATCATTGCATCGATGATCAGTTGAATGGACCGTGTCTGAAAAGTTACACCTTTGGCTAGAGTCGTCTCTATTGTTGATTAATTCCTATTTATTTTCTTGAGTTGCTTATATTTAGTTAATTAGTTATTTTTATATTTTTATAAAAACCCCATACTCGGGACTCTAAAAGAAATAAATTATCCCCAATCCCTATGGATTCGACCCTGCTTACCGCTATATATAAAAATTGTATTTTTCTCGAGTAAGTATTTATTATTGTACAGGCCGACACCTGTCATAATTATTTTCTTCTCTCCCACATATATATGTGAGTATTTGTTTTATCACTTTAATTTTGTAACCTTGCATACATTGATTATTATTAGAACCCTAAAATTGGGATTCTACAAAGATGAATAAATCTAGACCTTCTATCTAGTTTAGACATGATAATTGAGGATATTCATTTGGCTTTATTAGATCAGCATATTCTCAATGTACTTTGGGTTTCAAAGAGACAGTTGTGCATTGTTTAATTCATTGTACAAAAATTGTCAATTTTATCTAAATTCCTGTGAAATTTCCCTTTAAGTTTGTCAAGCAAATCGTGCTAATTAAAGTTTTTGTTTTATCAAAAAATAAATAAATCTCTACAAAACAATATCAACATAGAGATAAAGAGTAGATCGCAAAATGATAAAGAACAAGGACTTAGTATTCGAGTCAACATTTGATTCTCTCAATATTCGAGTCGAGATTTAAATTTAAGTCATTCAGCAATTAATTTCCCCGATACTCAAAAAATGATGTATGTGGAATTTTTTACAAGTCTATTATTGAAAAATGAAACTATCTCCACAGACCACTCCAATTTAGAGGCCCCAAAATTAAAGAAGAAAATGGCACCTTCTCTGAATCTGATCTTGATATTCCAAATGAACTAATTAGCATCGTTAACCCATAATCGGGTTAGTAGTTTCCTCCATTGGACCCAAATGCTTCAAATATTATGCTTCATGGGATGCTGTGGATTACTAAACAAAACTTCTCAAGCTTATTAAACTTATAGAATAGAGTGATCTTGAGATATTAATATTGGTTAACTAGAGATTTTGAGTTTAAATCCTCCTATCCTCTTTCCACTTCTTAAATCACACTCTTTCTCTACTAAAAAAAAAATAACTTAGAAGTTATTCTCATTTGTTATAAAATTTTGTAAAATCTGAACATAGAAAGTGCTTAGATGGAATAATCATAATTAGTTAAAACTACTCTTTGGTAGATTATAGATTTTGCATTTTTTCACTACTAAAAAAATTTTAAATCTAGATGCACAAGGAAATCAAAATATCAAAAATATTGAATATTATACAAAAATTAGGAATTACAATCCAATGAAATAATTGATCAAAGAACAATTTTTTTTTTAAAAAATATGAGTGAGTGGTCTCGAATTTTAGATCTCTCACTTACATTCTCTCCTCCTCTCATATTACCCACTATGTTTTCAGACTTGGACCGGATATTGACTCGGCTGAGCTCAGGGGTCGAGGGTCAATTGGTTCGACCGGGGTCAACTTAAATGACATCATAAATATGTCATAAATATTTATTAATAATATTTAATCAAAATAATATATAAAATTTATCTTTAAATTGGTGGTTTACAACTTCATAAGTTTAGATTGACATATCGAGATCCTTCTCATAGATGTCATAACTTCATTGTGATGTTATTAATAAAAATTATTTAGAAATTAAAATATTATATAAAATATCTAAAAGCATGCTATTATCAATAAAGGTGTATACATATGTGTTTGATGCTTCAAAACTGTTTAACAAGAAAGTGCAAAGAAATTAGAACAATCAAATAGTAATTCATATAATTCAACGCATATTTACAAGTTTAAAGTTAAATTTGTGGAGAATATTTATAGACTATAAAACATTTCTAGGTATGTTAATAGTTTTTCAATATCCAAGGGGTTAGAATACAATATTGAAATAGCTTTTTGAACCCTACATTAATATTCCCCCAATTCCTTCCTCCTTTACTCTAACCGCCGACAAATTCTTTTCTACTATTATGCTACCTTTTTCTTGTTCCTGTTCTCCGTTCATTCCACTCTTCCTTTTTTTTTTCTTTTTTTTTTTAAATCCAAAGAAGGATAGAACATACAAGGCAGCATAAGTTCCCAGGTCTCAAGCCCGTCGATGGCAAAAGCTCTTAGGCAGCCACTCCGAATGTTTTGAGAAACATTTCCCCAGTGTTTTGAGATGGACGAATTCGAAGAGGTTGAGCAATCTTTAAGTTTTTCCAGCGAATTTTTTACGATGCTCTTGATTTTTTATTTATCTTGACATGGATTCATTGCAAGAGTAAGCTTTACAATAGACATTGAAGTCTTGTCTGTTCTGGGTTCTAACTGCAATTTCAAGAACAAAGTGGACATGCTAGTCTTGTCCATTCTTTCTGCTTTTTTTTTTTAGTTTTTTATTTCCATTCTTATTTCTTATTTCTTTTCAGGATTTCCATTCTTATATCCTTAGGTATTTATTTTCAAAACTAACAAATAATCAAACTTTTATCTTTTTTCTTCAATCTGCTCTTTTCTTCATCTCTCTTTCTTTTTTTTTTTTTGGTCTTTTCCCCATATCTAAGATTAAATCTTATTTAGAAAAAGATATCAAGCACTGATTGTGGTGGCTAAATTGAAGGAGCTGAGGAGGTGAAAATGGGTTTCTAGAGAGGTGAGAGATCAGTAGGGATTTAGATAGGCAAAGAAAAAAAAAAGGCAAATAAAAAAACCGGGTTCACATCGGTTATACTGGTTTTCGGTCAAATCCGGTTTTGACCCGGGCTTGACCGAGTTTTTGTCATCCAAGTTTTTAGAGCAATTCGGACTGAATGTTTGACTGATTTTCGGTTAAACCGGTTGGACCATTTTTATCTTATAAAGAAGAAAATTGATTTTACCATTTTTTTTTTGTTTAAAGTCACGCCGAACCCAAAATGAGGAGGAGTTAATCCATAGCAGTATAACTCTGTAGTAATAATGGCTGTATCCAAAGGAGAAAATTAATAAAGTAATTTTGGCTTGCATTCCTATTGGATTGGAGACCCTAGATCCTACTCTCTTTAGTCTTTACCAACCTAAAGAGCCCCTTCTCCGTTTGCTACATATATCCGAGCCCCTTCTCCGTTTGCTACATATATTCGGCTCTTCTTCTTCTTCTGCCTCTTAAATTCAGTCAGCCAATGTTTAACAAGTATGCTCCAACTTCAGATTTTGGTAGTTTTGTTGTCCCTATTCTTGATTTACTTCTTGGTGTCCGGGTTCCAATTTTATTCTTTTATATATGACCATTGTCATGTACATGTTCCTTATTTATTCAGTTCGACAGACACCAGCTGTGACCATAGCCCATCCACCTGCGGGGTTACCGGCACCAATTTAAAGTGCCCGTTTCAGTTTAGTGGTGATGATCCGGATTTGTGCCCTGAATTTAGGGATGTTCTTCAATTCTCTTGTGAAAATAATCGCACTGTTCTATCCTTGGGTATTCGTTCCTATCCGGGGATACAGCAGTATAACTTTTCTGTGGAGTTGAACAGTATTGATTATGAGCAACAGACACTTCGTATATTTGATCCTGGGGTGCAAAAGAACAACTGTTCTACCCTGCCAGTCTACCCAAGCAACGACAACGACTACTACTTCTACCAAAATCAAGTTGGGGCTTCTACCATAATGGATATAGATCCCGATGCTGGTTCGTTGGTCTTTGTGAGCTGTAAAAATCCGGTGAAATCGAAATATCCTCCTCTTTATGTAGACACTGCTTCCTGTAATATCACTGCAAATCATTTTTCAAAAATGAAAGCTCCGTCCAATTATTACAGCTATGTTGTGGTGGGCAAAAATGTTGTGGCATCTGATATTGAAGAGTCGTGCACTGTCTATAAGACAGCTCCTGTAGATCTGCGGTGTCTCCCTAATGTAACAGCAGGAGATATTTCATTTCAAGACATCCACAATCTTCTGTCTAATGGCTATGAGATCAGTTGGTACGAAGGCTTCGATCCCAGGAGGAGATCCTTCTTTTGTAAGTACACTGATTCGAAAATTTATTAACATCGTGATTGATGATTGATTATGATGATCCTTCAAAAAGTATTCAGTACTAATGCTTGAAACTATGTTTTGGGGGAATTAATGTATATTGGAAGATTTTAAGTTAAGATATGAACTGGTACATTTGGGGCTAAATATGATAGTACTACTATTCACAATCTTCTGCCTAATGGCTATGAGATCCGTTGGATCGTAGGCTTGTATACCAGCAGGAGGAGATCCTTTTTTTTGTAAGTACACAGATTTGAAGATTTATCAACATCGTGATTGATGATTGATTATGATGATCTTTTAAAAAAGTATTCACTACTACTGCGTGAATCTCTGTTTCTGGAAAATTAATGACAAAGTATTTGGTGTTTACAATCAATAGCAACTAATAAATGAAAAATTCATTTTGCAAGAAATAACGGTACATAACGGCACAATCAATAGCTCCGATTCCCCTAAATCATTTGTTTAATTTGGAAACTAATTACGTGAATTTTTTTTATTTTTTTTTTTGGGGAAGGAGAGTACCAGAAGCCTTGCTACTGCTATTTCCTCTTTACTAGTTGTCTTTATCGCTGTGTATATCCTCACATAATTTTTCATTTGATTTTTTAAGTCAAATTAGAATAATTGGGTTTTAGGCAGGAGTGTGGGTTAACTTTTTTAGAAAGGTTATTTATTTTATGATCCTATCAAACACATGAATTATTGAATTCTCATTTGAATTTGTTCTCGTAGTGATTTGAAGCTTGTACACACATGAGGGTGAATTAATAGTAATTAATAAAAGTTCATTTTCAAGCATCCAATTGGACATTGACTTTGTCTTTTCTCCTTGGGCGATGTAGGTCCAATCCTCTACCGCGTTGACACATTCGGAAGTGAGTAAACTTATTTCTTTAATATGCCAAAAAAAAAAAACCATTCTTTAATCAGTCAGATTCTTTCTAATTCAGTATTTCGATTATCATCTTTTTTCTTTCATAAGCAGCTGGCGTGGGTTTTGCTGTCAAATTTTTCGGTAAGGCATCTGATAACTCTATCCATTGGCCGTATATATACATATATATATACTAGAAATCAATCATTGCTATATATATACATATATATATATATATATATACTAGAAATCAATCATTGCTAAATATAATCGTTCTTTTCTTCGATTTCAGTTCTACCCATTACGGCAAAAAGTGTCATTGGCATTGCCATCTTGTCTGCTTTCCTGCTTTATAGGTGGCATCGGAGGCATTTATCAAGGTATGATACAATAGAAGATTTCCTACAAACAAACAGCAGACTCATGCCCATTAGGTACTCATATAGAGAAATTAGGACAATGACGAAAAATTTTAAAGAAAAACTAGGTGAAGGAGGCTACGGTATGGTTTACAAAGGCAAATTGCGCAGTGGAGATGCTGTTGCTGTCAAAATGTTGAACAAATCAAAAGCTAATGGGCAAGAGTTCATCAATGAAGTTGCAACTATTGGAAGAATACACCATGTGAACGTGGTTCGGTTAGTGGGATTTTGTGTTACTGCTTCAAAACATGCTCTAGTGTATGATTACATGCTAAATGGCTCTCTGGATAAGTTAATTTTCTCAAACTGTCAAAATAGTTCTCCATTGAGTTGGAAACAAGTTTGTGAGATTGCAAAAGGGGTTGCTCGTGGCATTGAATACTTGCATCAGGGGTGTGATATGCAAATTCTGCATTTTGATATTAAACCGCATAACGTCTTACTCGATGAGAACTTTGTTCCAAAAGTTTCAGACTTTGGACTTGCAAAACTTTACCCGATGCAAAAGAGTATTGCAACTCTTACTGCTGTGAGAGGAACATTAGGTTACATGGCCCCGGAGTTGTTCTACAAAAGAATTGGAAGAGTCTCACACAAGACAGATGTTTACAGCTATGGAATGTTACTAATGGAGATGGCAGGAAGGAGGAGAAATGTGGATGCGCACGCTAAGCATTCAAGTCAAATATACTTCCCTTCATGGATATATGACAAATTCGATCAAGTGGAGGAAATGGAAATCGGAGATCATGCAACTGAAGAAGAAAAGACAATTACACGAAAATTGATTCTGATTGCATTGTGGTGCATACAAATGACACCTGAAGATCGTCCTTCAATGAGAGAAGTCTTAGATATGCTTGAAGGTGATGCTAGTGGCCTAAAGTTGCCTCCTAAACCGTCGTTTTACCCTCCAGATTCACCCATATCCATGCAAAGAAGCAGTAATAGTTGTTCTTCTGACGAGTCAACGGCGCCCCTGTGTAGCTTTGTTGCTATAGAAATAGAGCAGATGGATGACTAAGTAGAACTCGTGCTTTCAGTGAAATCTTTGTCTAGTGGATTTGGATTTGTCTTTCAAACTCTTAAATATGCCACCTAGTACCAGATAACATGGCAAACTGAAATATCAGTTTGTTATCAATAAACTGAAGGGTAGCACCTTGATATAAGCTTCATATATAATAGTAATACCAGTATCAATCTTTGAGTTTAACTTAATAATTTCTACAATTGAGCTCCAATACATATTTTTTTTCTTAAACTATTATGTTATCTAAAACAGCGAGGAGTATATCTAAATATTTCCTCCAAATTCATAAGATCAATCTTTTCTAGTAGTGTTGCTGTGACTAGTCAAATTGTTAGTTTAACGTAGGCTATAGGCCTTTTTCTTTATCCTTGGATTTTTCCTTCGAAACATGTCAGTTCCTTTTCATCAACGTGCAGAATATGACATTTCCTGGATACCGCCTGCTTGAGTAATTGAAGGCGAATACTCCGCGGTCTAGCTGATATACTTTTCAAATACTTACGAAGAAAGAGAACTAGTGTTCCTTCTTTATGGTTCAGTTATTTAAGTTGAGGTTTTGTCTTGTGTTGAAGAATTCAACTTCTTAAGAAGCATTACGACATTAAGGGTGCGTTTGATAAAATTGAAATCTGAAAACTGAAATTTGAATTCATTAAATTATTGAATTGTTAAGTATTAAATCTAGTACATTTGAGTATTATCATATTCAGTGATAAGTGAATAGCTTATTACTTAATTTTAGGAGCAAATTTTGCTTAGAAAATTCAGTGTCATTTAATTAATTCAAATGTTCAATTTTTTGTTATTAAACGCGTTTGAACATGTTAAGATCTGAATCCATTAAATTTCAGTAGTGAATGAGATTATCAAACAGGGCCTAAGTAACAACCATTGGCACCTTCTTTTGAATTATGGATAGGTTAACTGTTATTGATTGCTACTATTATTGTCTCAGTGTTCATATGATTTGATTACAAAAAGTCAGTCATTGTGCCTAAGCTTTGGAGAAGAAACTGGGATTGCTGGGGATAGGAAGCTACTTGTGTTGTAATGATAAACTGTTCTAAAAGGATCTAAACTTCAGTTGTTCTGATAAGCTTTCTTGATATGTGTTGCACGAATACAACATTTTTAAAAGTTTGATCTTAGAGAAAGAGACGACATATTAGGCTTGCAAATGAAAGGGTGTAGGAGTACTCCTAAAACAAATGTCTCAGAAACAAAGGACATTAAGCACTTGTTGCCCTCACTAAGTACCTTTTGATTGTGACATTTTGCTACCTTGCAGCTAGGCAGGCAAGCACTTCTTGGCTTGAAGGCACCATGTCCCGCTAGGTAGGTCAGACAGACAAAAATATAGAACTAATTAGTTTTAATGACAGTTAACAAGAAATCACGAGCTCAAAGTGCGAAACAGATGTGGCATCTAGATTCCATAAATACTTGTATACATTCTTATCATATTAGTTCATGAGTCAAAGGAATTATAAGTATCTCTATTCGTGCTGAATTTCATATTAACATAGGCATTCAAAACTGTTTTATTCATTAGAGAGTACTAAAACTACTTATCTTAGTGAAAATGAATCAGTACCCATGAAAGCGAGAGCCTAATTTAATTTCTAATTCTTAATAATGGACCAAATTATCAACGTTTCAATTACTAACAAGAGCACAAGAAATATTTTCGGACCAAAAACAGGGAAATGAAGAAATGGGAATTAGGAACGAACCGGCCTGACACTGGGTTGAGCCCATCACCGAGCTCCAGACTCTAGGACTTGCATATTCAATAATTTAAAGCCGCCATCTCAAACTACTGATAAGAATTCATCCAAACTTCAAGATTTTCGCTCGTTTTCCCTTCTCACTTTTGATTAAGAGGCCAACAAAATTTCTAAAATCACCACATAGTTCCACTAAATTAGCCAACAAAATAACAAATAGGCAAAAGGCCTATTAAAGAAGTCAAAAATGAAAATCCAACTACTTGAGAGGAGAGATGGATTGGATGGTATTAGGGAGGACTAACACTTACACCTAACTTACACTTAAAAAAAAAAAAAAAACCAAGCATCTCATTTGTTTTAACTCTTTGATTTGCGAAGCTTTCACCTTGATCAGGAGAAGGGCTAAAGAGACATTTTGGAGAGAAATACTAGGAAGGGTTCGAAAGAGTAAAGTGAGGTCCAACTCAAAATTCTTCCAATATAAAAACTTGCTCAAATTATTAATTAGTCCCCCAACTTCTAAACTTAATCACATAAACCTCCAAGATTATATAACCTTCACTAATTAACCCATGAAATAAAGTTAACGCGGTCATGAGTATTACACTTATGCTGCAAATATTTGGAGAGAAGTGTGCAGAGTTCGAATTTGCCATACAGAGGAGCATATGCTTTGAATATTAAACCGTCTTGGCTCAGATTTTATTATTGTGTTAGGAAAAATTTTCTTGATTAAATAGTCAGATCGTCTCTTGCATTTTGTGCCTATCATATATGGGAAGAGAAAAACAAGAGAATTTTCACTAAGGAAGAAAAGCTAATCCTATCATGTTGCAGCCCATTAGCCCATTAGCACTGAGGTTAGAGCAGTGGTAGCTTCTTGGAAAAAGATTAAACTAACAAAGTATAGCATGGAATTTTGATCTTACATTCTTACCGTGAGTATTCTGTTTGTTTAGTTGGTGACCTTGGGTGTTGTTTGTAATTAGTGCACTTTGGACAGTGTTGCTGGTTTGGCCTTTTGCTACTTCTCATAATAAGCTCTGTTTTTGCTATATCAATAAAATGAATACCTTACCTAACAAAACAAAAGGAGGTAATAAGGGGACAATTTTCTTTTTTTTTTTAAATACAAAAATAACAACAAAAGGAGTTGACCCAAAGAAATAACAAAGTATAACAACTTGATTTTGTCAATAATAATAATAATAGCAACGACTTCAGTGCTAGATTCTAGATTAGAGCGCCTTACAGGTAAGAAAAGTCCAAAGTTGGACCTGCGATCTGAATTGTTTCAATTGACAATGGTGTGTATTTCAACAAAAAGAATAGACTGGAAATAAGAAAAATGACACAAGTAGTCAAGTTTAGATTGGGTTCCCTCAAAAAAGGAAAAAAAAAATAGTATGTTGACTTAGTTCTTTAGTCCGAAAGGAGTTCAGTATTAGTTTTTAATATTGACTCGGTCAATCATTAACAGTATGTTGCAAGTTCAGATTTTGGTAGCTTTGACTTGGTAACCTACCTTGGATTTCATCCTTTCTTTAATTTTTTTTTGGGGTTCTGGATGCAGTAATAATTCTTCTATTGTGACTCTGTTGCTTTAGAAAATGGTGCTACTTAACTTTCTCATTCTAATTTTTTAGATTTTTTAAAAACTTTCCCATTCTTATAGCTATGGAAGTTATTTCTCTTTTTTTTTTCAAATATTATTTTGTTTGCTCATAAACTCGTTTTCCAACTAGTTTTATTTTTAAATATTTTCATCCAAGTTTTTATCTTACATACATTAACATTATAAAAATTATTATAGTAATTATTTCAAATAATATTTTAAATAATACACTATCCAGACACACTTTATGCATCTTCTACTTTGTTTTAATTTTTAATTTTTTGTATTTTATTCTTATTTTTGTCAATAAGATGAAATTTAAAACATACAAACCAAGTAACAACACGTAATTTTAATACCACTAGCATGTATTTCCAAAATGAACACTGAAGTTTTGCATCTTTGTTACAAAATTATACAAATAACCTATAATGATAATTATTTGGTGAGATGGTTTTACATAATTTAGAAACGGTTGTAAATGCCACAAACTCTTAACTAGTTATACTCTTGATAAGAAAAACCTGATAGACATATGAGGATGTTAGGGTGTGTTTGGATGGTGTATTTTTGGATGTTTATATAAAATTCTATTGTAACTTACTATTCTACACTAGAAAATTTTAGGGAAAATCGTCCAAAACGTCCCTCACATTTTGTAAAATAACTTTTTTCGTCCCTCACTTTTAAAAGTGTAATTTTATATCCCTTACAAATGCACATCGGACAAATTTAGTCCCTAACTAGGTTTCCGATCATTTTTTAGCCGGAATCCATCACGTGCAAGGCACGTGATCATTTTTTAAGGGTAAATTTGTTAAATTATATTTACATAATCTGATCTATAGTCCTCCACATTTTATAAAATAAATTTTTTCGTCCGTCACATTTTATAAAATGATTTTTTTCATCCCTCACATTTTACAAAATGAATTTCTCCATCCCTCACATTTTAAAAAATGAATTTTTCGTTTTCGTTTGAAGAACTTTAAGAACTCTTGATGTAATACTGTATTTTTTATGGCAATGAAGATGATGAAACTTGAAGATCTAAAAAAAAAAAAAATGAATTTTTCATTTCTCACTAATTATGTGTGTGAATACATTTTTTTAAACACATGTATATGTTTATTTGATTTTACTTAATAATAATAGCATAAACACATGTATGTAATTGGACCCAACTTGTGGGCTATCTTCTCTTTTTGTATGATTATGACTAATATTTACCAACAGAACCTTAATTTGCATATTCTTATTGTATTTTGACCGAAAATAACTTTATTGGCCAACTTGACATTGAATGCAAGATTATTTACTAGCTAATACCAGATGAAATCAAATGATCACGTATAATATATGGTATTCGTATTGTTAAGTGAATCAAATATACACATACATATATTTATGCTATTCGTATTATTAAGCAAAATCAAATAGACATATACATGTGTTTAAACAAAATGTATTCACACACATTTTTTTTTTTAGGATTTCCCTTACATACATAATTAGTGAGGGATGGAAATATTCATTTTTTGAAATGTAAGGGATAGAGAAATTCATTTTGTCAAATGTGAGGGATGAAAAAATTTATTTTATAAAATGTGAGGGACGAAAAAATTTATTTTATAAAATGTGGAGGACTATAGATCAAATTATGTAAAATATAATTTGACAAATTTAACCTTAAAAAATGATCACGTGCCTTGCACGTGATGGATTCCGGCCAAAAAATGATTGGAAACCTAGTTAAGGACTAAATTTGACCGATGTGAATATGTAAGGGACATAAAATTACACTTTTAAAAGTGAGGGACGAAAAAAGTCATTTTATAAAATG